TTTCTAAAGTAACTGCTCAAGTAAGTTGAGAATGCTTCAGCGAAAAACAGCGACTAAGGATTTTTCAAGAACGTCAGTCTCTACTGGCTACATGCTTCTTTACATGGCTGTTCGTGGAAAGTGTTATGCTTTTAATATTACCGAGAAACTTATGGGAATAATGGTCACTAAAAGAAGTTCCCTTTAAGGAAAAAAGTAAAATTTGAATGAAAACGTTTTGGACAGGGTTTTTTAAAAGAAAAATGTAAGTAAAATCCATAAGCTTGATATTGATTTTAGCTTTATAATTCATATTTAAACAAAGTCCTAATCATATTTAAATCAATCAATCAAATAATTGGAAAGGTTTAAATCTAGCTTTCAATCACATACTGTTCTGTTTGAACCCGTTCTTTATGTGCAACCTCCACCAACACATCTCTGGTAGCTTTTGAAGTATTTTGCATGAAAAGCTATGTAGTAATAGACCTCCTTGGCTTGGGCATGATGTTATTCCATTTCAGACCACATCTTATTCCCTTGAGAATAGGATTATTYGTTTGAGTTGTATCTATATCTATGGGTCTAATCATGTACAACCAAGCGCAATTGTTCAACAAAGAAATGATACTCTAGGGAATGACATGTGGTCTGAAATGCCGAGGAGGTCTATTCTGCCCATTCATCAAACTTTTCAACTCCCATTTGATTTGACCCCTTTAAATGCTGTATTTATCAATTCTTTCTCCTCACAAGAAACATAATTTAATCTAAATAAAACATTATAAAGACTCAAATGATTCTAAAAGCATATTCTTTGACACAGCCTTTTTCCCATACAGGGCCACTACAACAACAACCTTACACTGTTTGTATGGAAAGTACTGAACTTGTTGAAATCCGTTTACATGGATCCTTGCTACAGACTTACATTCTGCAAACCGAAAGTTGTCCCTAAAGCAAGGTAGAGAGAACTCTTTTTTGAGTCAACTTGGTGTGTACTCCTCCCCTCATTAATAATTAATAGCGCAGCGCAGCCGTGACGTCATCAATACGAAGACAAAGGCGAAATTCGGACAAACAAACTTACAAGTTTACTTTCAGCAGATRATTTTCACAGCCTATCGCAGTTGATCTTAGTTTACATGGGTTGTTATTGTAACTTTAAGTAAAAATAATAAAATCGGTTCGTATAATCCTCATAGCTGTTAAACAGAATGCAATGTTTGTCTGAATCTTTAAGCTATTTTTAGAATCAGTTGGCTGCGCTATTATAATAATAATATAAACTTTATTTAATCGGTATAAAAATGGATCAGGCAGAACCATGAGGTACTACTATATATACATTAATTTAAATATATACCTATATACATAAATAAAATAAAATAAATAAATAAATATATTTACATATATCTACTACGTATCTTGCAATTTTTATTGTTAACAATTTTAAAAATTAAAACAAATCGTAAAAAACATCTGCAATAATTGTATAAAGTCAAGATTCCCAGTTTATTTAGCAAAGTTTGTGAACAGGATTTTCTATATTTTCTAAGTATAATTTTCGAAGCTTGATTCTGTAGTCATGTTTTCTGATTAAGTGCTGTTCTTCCAGTTCCCACTCAGATTGTGATGTGKGAATTTCAGTATCATCAGGAAGTAAGGTCATAGATCCATTATTACTTGATTTTAATATATCATTGTAGTGCATGGAGAACAAGGTTGGGCCTAATACGGAACCTGTGGAACTCCATAAAAAATTTGCAAGGTCTCAGATTGAATGCCATTTACCATGAGGTATTGCTTCCAATTATTTGATAAGTAACTTTCCAACTGCAAACCTCATGCCTATTATTCATGCATCATAATTATGTGATTTACACCGGGTACTCCTCCATCACTGGGTACTGGTCTGGTACTTCCAATACTAGATGTGTCACCTTTGTCACCGGATACTGGTCTCGTACTCACAACACTAGGTACTTTCAACACTAGGTGGGTCTCCTTTATCACCGGGTACTGGTCTCGTACTCACAACACTAGGTACTTCCAACACTAGGTGGGTCACCTTCATCATCGGGTACTGGTCTGATACTTCCAACACTAGGTGGGTTACCTCCATCACCACGTACTGGTCTGGTACTTCCAACACTAGGTGGGTCACCTTTATCACCGGGTACTGGTCTGGTACTTCCAACACTAGGTGGGTCACCTCCATCATTCGGTGTGTCATTTCCTTTTCTCCCTAGTTTGCCTTCATGGGATTTCTTTACAGAAGAATACGTTTTCTTCTCATTAAACAAGTGCATTTCTCAAACATTAGCAAAGAGAGACTTTCTTACAGGAAAAAAGTTTCTCTTTCCTAGTTGAATCAACTCTTCTCAGTTTCATAGTGCGAAATGGAACAACTCACTTCTCTTTCTTACCACGACACCACCTTTCTTTTTTTACAAACATTGACAAACTTTCGATTCTCGTCAGATGAGTGCAGCCACCCCAGAAAGATGCGTTTAGTCTTTTCATTGACTTGTAGTTGTTTGTGCACACTAGACTGACAGCTAGTTTTTATGGTATTTATCAAGTACAGCCTAGAAATACTTTTCCTGATTCTCATCTTGATATACGGTTGTTACGCTTGGCTTCATCCAGCGAGAAGGAATTTTAAAATGATTTAATTCGTGCCATTACGTCAAAGATGTTATAAATGACTTGTCTGATTCACTTGTTCAACCAATCAAAACCAACTCATTGAGAATATTGGCTCTTGGAAGAGACCAGAAAAATATTATCTTCGCTTTGTTGTGAGAAAATTACTAATAACTCACTAATAACTCCTTTAAAAGATACTCTCGTAGTTCACGAGAAATACAGTCAGTTAGGACTGGTTTTAGGCGATAGTTTACAGTCAAGAAGCAACAGGAACAACCTATTCAACATGGCTAGATTTCGCTATTCCTTTAACACTCCTGCGAAGGTAATGGGGTGTATTCATGCAGCTCTTGGAGGCTTGTTGATCGTAATGGGTATCGTTGCACGAATTCAAGTTTACCATTGGACAAGTGAGATGCTCCTTGGAATATGGACTGGTGTCGTGGTGAGTTTTAAAGAATATAAGTTCAAAAGTATCGCTTTAAATCTTCATGATAGGCTTAAAACTTAAATGCAAAGAACCCGAACTGCCTTGCGTTGGAATGCAAACGTCACCCTCTTTTAAAAGTCCTGACTTTTTCGTATACCTTTTTCTTTTTCTATAAAACTTTTCCTCGTCAACATTGAAACTCCAGCACTTTCAATTAAATACTGAAAAAGAAGAAATTGTCATCAATTTGGAGACAATGTTTTGATCTTTTTAGAAACGGGTTTAAATTCATTTGAAAATGATAAGCAACAGTTTAGGAATAGGTACCGCTCTTATTTAAATCCTTGCTGGGGATACGATTCTTTAGGAGCGTAAATCTACCTTTTAATTGCTGCAGTTATCGAAATTATCCCTGCAGTTCTTTTTAAAATACACTTTTTAATTGAATTTTCTGAGTGAACTTCTTTGCAAAGGTTTTCATTTATTTAATTACTTTTTAATTAATTTTTATTTGAGGCAGTTAATAAACTAGTCGTTCATGTTTGTATTAAATATAGAAATTTATTTCAATTCTACGTGAGAATTTAATCATCCAGCTCAGTATAGAAGATGCTACAACATTCGTGTGACGTATTTAGGGGTTATCTGTTGTCGTAATGAGTTAGACGTTATTATAGAGCACTTAGTACAATACAAAAGATAGAACTAAGACCATTAATCATTTTACTTATTGTCAATTATGCCTGTGTACTCGATAATCCGTGTATTATTAGGAGAATTTACGCTTGGTGAAACATTAAGAAAAAAGTACCCGACAGTCTTTGCGCTGTTCTCTCTTACACTTCGAAAACGTTTTTTCTCTCATCCTCTTTCTTTCTTTCTTTCTTCCTTCCTTCCATTTGTTCATCAATGCTATGACTATCAATGACCAACATGTTTCTTGTGTATTTGATGTCTCGTGTGTATTCATATGTAGATTGATTCACTTGGGTGATATCAACTAAATATCCACTAAATTGCGACTATTAGTCTAGTTAATAACTATTTTGTTTTTATTTCACGGATTAAGTACCATCGCTCTAACAGGAGTCAACAATAACAATCAGGGCGCTAATTAGGTAATTAGCGCCCTGATAACAATGCTGCAAACTGTTAATGCGTTTTTTCCTTTACCTTTTACAGTTCCTGTCCACTGGTGCAGTTGCAGTGGTTGGTGCTTACCGCAGGATGGCGATGAAGCAGAAGAGAAGCTACGTAAGAAAAATATGGTTAATCTAGTAACAATTAGTAATGTATTTATTCTTGGGGTGCATATTACGTCATAGCCACCATCTTGGTTGACGATAACAAAGCATTCCTCATTAGCTTCTCTTTTTAGATCAACCAACATGGCGGCTGTTTCATTGTTATTTATATCTCAAGGGATTTCGAATCACGTGGTTGCACCCCAAGAATATCACTGAACAAGCCCGATTGGCTGTTAAAAAATGATTGTTTGACTTGCAAGCATGCTGGATGAAAAAAATGCTCGTTAACTCTATTCACCACCACAAGTACAGATGTCTCGCAACTCAATGTGGTCGAAATGAAAGCAATGAGAAGGCGCTGATGACCTCCACTGACTGTGCCTCTGTGACCCATGGTCGCTAAGGCTTACCCTATTTTTATCTTAGGGATAAATAGTTAGACTTATTGGTGTATGTATGTTTCTACAGATCATCACGTTTGTCATCATGTCCGTCATTTCCCTAATCCTTGCCATCTTTGTCGTTATTTGCTATGCTATGGCAGTCATTGCATTCTTTGGTGGAGAAAAGATGGGTAATTTCTCCTGGTACAATTGGGATGATCGTGCCTACACCTCGCAGAACGTTAAAAAAGCCAGGGGAATCACAGCAACCATTCTTGCTCTTGGTTTGAATGAGCTTCTCATTTCGATCGTCTCTTTGATTCATGGTTTGATGTGCTGTTGTCTCAGGAAGTGGCATCAGGTACGTGACCATGCTCCTCCCCTCCTCTTCTTCCCTCACCTCCCTATCCTTACTAGTTCTCGCTCTCTCACCCTCCCAACATCAGAAAACGATAGAGAATCGCAACACATGAGCACGCTCCTCTCCTCCCCTACTAGTTCTCGCTCTCTCACCCTCCCAACATCAGAAAACGATAGAGAATCGCAATACATGACCACGCTCCTTCCCTCCCCTACTAG